CGAAGAGATTAAATGGGAAACAAGGTGTATAGCCGCTGTTTGCGATCTTTAGTATGGAGGAAGAATGGACAATATCATTGCGTGTGTTTCCTAAGGAGTATCTTTTCATGCTTAATCCGCTCGGCAGCATGTATTTTATTTCTTTGTTATGCACCAGAAAAAGGAATATCAGCAAACAGTATTAAGCTTTCATTTTCTTTCTCACGAAGCTTCAAGGTAAAAGGCCTTGGTGGCAAAAACGCTAGATCTTGGGTTTAGTTTAGGGATTCCATTATTCTGCACTCAACAACTGCCGATACCATAGGTTTTTAACCTTGAAATTTCCCAAAAATGACTGCGCGCAATGATGTTTGCTATAAACGGAATAAATACTGTACTCAAACCTTCCGCGAAAGTATTGGAACAAATAAAAGGGTTAAAATAAATTACTTTTTTCTGCATGGCGTAACTAAAGATGACTGAAAGCGTAGTTTGAATGTGTCAAGGTATTTTCACGGTGTTTGTTTGTAATTTAGGCCGAAATATTGATCAAAGCTAAATCTACGCACATTCTAATGTTCGGTCCTCAAACATGCTTATCGGATCTATCGTAATAAGAAGGATATAGATACCATACTTGACAGTTTTCATGGGGTTTCAAACAGGCATTATGTAGCACTGGACACAGGGTGTGAGCGATTGGCCATACCTCAACTATTTTGACCGTTATAATCGATAACCAGTAATCAATTAACACTGGTTCAGTTACCACCTCCGGAGTGTTCACAGATGACTCCCACAGACGTCCCACATCTCACTTGCCCTGGGCTAGGTACGATCTAAAATATTTACGGACTTCGTCCTACGTAGTCCCAGATGTACAAATTTATACTAATTTTAAAGGTCAAGTACACCAAACATGCAGCTGGTGAGGCAGCGAACTAAGTTTCGTGTCTTACTTAGTGCGACAAAAATGTAGAAGCTAGTTCACTATCCCTTTTATATACTTTTTCGAATTTTTCTATAAGATCTCCTATTTAGTAAGACTGGGCATTTTTTCGTTCCTTTTTCCCAAGTGAAAGTTAGCGTAGGCTGAGCTTCGTTCACATTAACAGGAGGACGCGCTCGCAAAATTCTAAGTTTACGGTGTGGAACGGCACGGCTATTGATTTGCTTAGACCAATTGGCTCGCACTTTAACCCTGATCCATTATTAAAACTTGTCGGCTTTTATGAGCAGGAGCAATTTTGTAAAATATTTAAACAAGAGAGACTTGGTTGTCAATTTCACATGCCATCCGCAGTCGGTAGTACTTGAATAAAATAGAATAGGATAAATATTTTATTTCCTTAACGTTTTAAAAACACTGCGGTATAAATCGTTGTAAATTAGCTAAACAGGGGTTATCCTGATATAAAACATCAGCTTTCATTAACTGCAGACTATTGGCGGAAGAAAATGATACAATTTTTGTCGTCCAGATTTACGTGAAATCATTACTCTCCCGTTCTTTTTACCCATTTCTCTATGTTTGGTCCGTGCAGTTCCTCATCTGCTCGCTCTCGCTAGTCACATTTGCCGTGGACCGGTCCCAACCACAAAGCCGACTTCAGTTGACCTTCACACTTGTTCTGACGCTTGTTGCGTTCAAATTTGTGGTCAATCAGTGCCTGCCGAAAATTTCTTACTTAACCTACCTGGCGAGTTCTTTTAATGTTTTTGTTTGTTTCTGGTGCATGTTATTTTTAGCAAATGCATTAGGTGATAAAAATAACCTGTCATGCTTGCAACTGCATCCCAAATCAATACTGGCAGGTAATTGAATTTGCATTTCCATGTCTTATTTAACGCGTTCTGCACTCAGGGTAATGCTAGCGTATCCCTCAACATGTCTGAAGACGTAATTCACCGTGCATTTTAGGTAAAAAGGAATATTCGACTTCTGATCTCCTTAAAGTATAATAATGTGCAAATTGTTGTGCGCTTTTGGAGCAAAGTAAGTTTGCACTAAATTGTATACTCGAAAAAAAGGAATCTCTAGGTCTCAAACGAATTTTCACTTCCTAACATTTTTAACCCAAAGTGCATCGGCAATTGCGGTATTACGACACGACACGCGGTATGCTATCCGTGCAAGGAAGGTCACAGCCCTACCCCGGGTATTAAAAATAATTCTTATAGGGCTTTTAGCATTTTGCAATTAATTTGAACCAAGTGGTATATTTCCTAAACGCAATTAATAAATGGTCCGGTGCGATGCTATACGATCATTGTTCAAATATTCTATAAGAAAAATGGTTCTCTTGGCAGTAGGCTATTCTTACTTTGAGTATAAACTTTGTGGACGTAAAAGAAGATAAAAAGAATACGTTTTAACATGTTTTTTTCTATAAAATATACTTAAATATACAATGTTATCGAAAAAGGCTAAAAAATTATAGGCTTACAAAAAACTTCTTTGTAGTAGGTGTACATGCAGCAAGCGCACGAAAGGAAGCTGATTCAATGGTCGGTAGGACGTTGCGATTTGACTGCTTTATGATTGATTTGCATAGTGATTAATGTTCACACCTCACTTTAGTGAAAAACCTACAGCACCATTTCGCAATAACTGTATGTAACTGAAGGACCCGGAAGAAAACAAACATTTTATCCATCCTGAATTAATCACCATATGCCGTTGAACTATATCAAAAGGAATTTGCTAATGCACTAAGGATGCAATGATCTTCAAAACCATCATTACAATCCAAATTTCCATTGCGGAAATATCTGTCGCCGTACGTTACCACTTTGCTGTTATAAAAGGTGCTTGAGTACTAGTTCTTTTGTGCGTGAAAAGAAATACTGTTTTTCCGTACATTTCGTTTTATTAGAATTGAACGCATACCACAGACACATAAAATGCCAAAAAAGACAATTGAAATTTCAGTGGAGCAACCATTTCATTAACAAAATGGGAAGCAATTTTGCATCGTTAAAAGCAGGAATAACTACTGTTAAGCAATAACACCACATGCTTATGGCAGCTTTTTTCTGTTACAAAAGGATGACAAGTTGTTTTTCCTAACCTGGAAGCGTACAATATTTTTGGATGCTCATAAGCAGACAATTGTCTCAGAGCTTCAGCTGAGTCATTCAGAAATACACTTATTTGTAATTCATAGACCATTTGCAGTGAAAGTGGTCAATTATAAATAAGCTGCCTGAGCCGAATTGCATGATACAGGGAATCTTAATACATTGTTTTAAAAACAGTTTGCGTCTTGCTAGAGTCTATGGACCATTGTAAATATTTTCGACATACCGATTAAAAATCAAAACAAATGGACTTTGTCGTTTCCAGTGGCAGGTATTTTAGGGAGGACCATGTCCCTGTTATAGTTTAAATAAGGCCTTTTGGTAGTTCTTTAGAACAACCGCTAGTTCCACATACACTACTGAACTTCCGCACATTTTCCAGTTCGCTAATTTCTAAATCATGATCACTAGAGGTAGGATCTCAGGCAAAATTACAAACGATCGCGTCTGCCTCTTCTCAGTCCCCTGCACCCAGTATTTTCTCTTTTGCAGGCAAAAAATAAACTATGTTAGGGATAAACTTGATCAATGAACGGGTTACTTACCTAAAATGCCAAGAGGAGAGACTACTGTTTTTTGCGTTTATTGTCGATTACTGGATGAATTAACGCCAAATTATTATAAATCCCACTATTAAACATGGTTTGGTTAAGTGGTTCCTATTGTGCTCGTGGCCTGGCTTCAACAAACTTAACGAATTTTACTTTATTTCTGTAATCTATAAGTGAGGTTGTCTTCAAAATTACTTACCAGTTTTAGAAATTCGTAGCCCTTTAAACTGTTTGCAGCCGACACAAAAGAGAAATTATTGACATTTGTCATAGTTACGCACTTTTTCCATTATTTATTTTTAATTGCTTTTTAGAGTTATTCTAGATGAAAAACCGCGATTACTATCATTCATTTAAGCGGAAGCCCTCGATATCCGCAGTAGTTAATTTGAACTTACACAGTCCTTTTTGGTTTATGTCCAAAATAGCGTTGCCACAGGCAAATAAAATTTTTTGTTTTCAGACGGAACCATAAATAACCTAAAAATATTTCCAGACTGGACATCTATGAGTCATCCATTGACTCGTCCATGAAAACAGCATTAGCTCTAAACTATGCTGACATCTTAATGGATTAAGGAGGAGCATCAATCACTTATCCACTGTGAAGTTTTCTGGTGATCATACTCTGATGAAAGACTTGCGAAAATTTACTGCTGTGCAGACATTATTGAAGCTTTTGTACCATAACACAAGCACTAATGTATTTTTGTTTTACACTATATTTTTGCTTAAGCTGGTGATATCTGATAACATGTTATACAACTGCTCACGGACACGCAAAACAGGTTGAATAAGCACTATCTCGTACAAACTGCTTCTCAAATAAATACTTTGGTATTTTAGAAAAGCCAAACAAAGGTTTTTTTCATTTCTAAAAGCTGAATGAGAACTACAACCATATTTCACATGATGAAATAAATATGTCTTTTGTCCTGGGCGGTGCCTTTTCTTTGCCAGAAGGGATTTTCTAGTTAACGTGTTGTGATTTAAAATATTTCTTGACAATATATTTATTTGCATGGTAACACAATTGGACAATGCCGGACTAAGGAAGTAGGAAAATAGCGTGCTCAGGTGTTATGCTTTAAAAATCCCCCTGCGATTTTATCGAACCCGTAAAGTGCATAAGCGTTCGACGCGTGTTTGAAAGCACTGTCACAATTGACGCGTATTTCCCACAGCTAATTGCCAAATTAGACAGTTATTCCATTACGTAAATTGCTCTGCATTAAGTGCAGCAACTCATCACTCACTCTTAGAAGTCAACGCCTGCTCTTCCGTAATCCTCCCTCTGGTCACACTCTAAGTGACAGTTTAAAAAAAATGAAAAATATTTCGCCTCGACAAAGGTGTTCACCTCGAATGCTGATTAGGTCCATTAGGTCCATGCTGCGGTTGATTTTCCACGCCCTTCTGCGGACGTGTTATTCTGAACGAATTCACCGTTTTCGTGGCTATCTGCTGACTAAGTCTACAGTCAATCTGGCCCGAAGGGACACTCCATGTGTATCAATTGGCGCTCTACTTGCAGTAAGTGCAATTAAGGAGTTAGAAGGTTAAGAATCAACCACTAACAGTTCTTTTGGAATAGAAGTTTGTGAAACTTCCAGACCACGAGTCCTTTGAAGAGTCCTTTCACACTTATTTGTATCGTTCTTCTGAAACAATGTTAACAAATGTATGATTAAGGGGCGCTCACCGATCAAAGAGCAGCACATGCTCGTCCCGTTGTGCCTAAGCCCTCGTGGGCGATAGCACAGTGACTAGATGTATATACCGATGATGGAACGCTGACTAAGACAAAGGAGACTGTAATGGCCGTTTCCGACTTATTAGCCGCCATAAGTCCCAAGGCACAATGGAACGAGTAGCCCTCGCACCTTGATCGGTGGGCTCCTAAAAATCGTAGCTTATCTCCCCGATCCCTAGCGATTTGATAACTAGTTCGTGGCTAAGTGGTAGAGTTCTCAATTCATTGACCACAGATTTCGGGTTTGAATTCTAGGTGATCTACATTTGGGATGTGGTATGCTTGGATGATGACGGAAAATTAGCCAGAAGTGGTTGTTACCGTCTGTCTTGGCTTTGTCGATATTATATCTTACGCTCACAAATATATTGCTTATCGTAATGAAGAACAAATGTAGCCTTCCAAAATAGATCTCTTTGGACAATTCCAGATCATTTGTTTCCCTAAACGAAATTTGAGATGAATCAGAGTGCTGTAAGAACCAAGATTTAACAGCGTGGTCTACTCATATAAACTTCGACTCAAATGTTGGCTTTGTTTGAACATTTACCTAAACAGTGGTTGCCATTCAGGATGTGTATGACGATGGTCACTTTTTATATTTGATCGCTGATTGGCATATCGTTACGCTAATCGTTAGTCTCCGAGTGTCCTTCAAGCTTCAACTAATAAAAAGTGAGGGCGTTTGCCCTTTATTTTTCAACTCATCAAGATACCTCGCCGCTTTCCGTTGTATAAACACCTTTAATAATATCAAGACGGAATTGTAATAACATTCTTCAGGTGCATGATAAAATCTGATAGATTTTGCACCGGTAGTTAGGCAGCTGTGCAAGACATTGGAATAAGCACCCCAGCGCCCGTCAATGAATGCGCAAAATTCTGCACAGAGTACCTACTACCTTGTTCCAACCCCAAACTCGAAGTGAATTTAACCCGTTAACATGCACTCAATTGCCCAAACACAACGTTAAGATTCACGTTGTCTGCTAGGAAATTTATAGAAGGCCCAGGAAATAAATGAGTCCCTCAATTTTATCTCTTGTGGGGTGGTTGTATTAGGATATAGATTTCACAGTGGTTCCCAAGCCCTCGTACCTATTTAGTGCATTTGTAAAACAGCCGTTTGTTATCCATTTTTCGGCAAAACTGTCTCATGGGGCCCCCTTAATATTGAGTTCCCCACCCGAATGTCTAACGTATTTTGTGCTCAAACATTTACTTATTGGTAAGTAAGTGTAACTGAATATTAAATTGTGGTGGAAGTGATCAAAAATATTAAATTAAAGAAAATTATAT